TTTCATACAGATGGAGTCATATACTATGTAGCCTTTTGTATCTAACTTGTTTTATGTAGCATAATGTTTCCAAGGTTGTGTTGTGGCATGTATCCCCCTTTGGGGGACTGGATACTATTCCATGGTATGGCTATACTAAATTTTGTTTATCCATCTGTCACGTGATGGACATTTGGGTTGTTGTCCACTTTTTGGTTATCATGAACAATGTTGCTATGAACATTCAAGTTTTTTGTGGACACATAGATTCCCTGCTTTAAATTCCCTAGGGCGCATATCTAGGAGAGCTTTTATTTACGTATGCATCCGTTCTTCTATAGTAAACATGTACTATTTTTATAATTTGAAAAGCAATATGTTACCTTAAAAAACTAAAACACAAGAATCAATAGGCTTATGGGGTGTCGGTGACACGGTCACCTCTGATTCCTTCCAATAACCACTGGCTTCTCAAAGTTAAATCCAAATAAAAACAAAACAATAAAACAGAACTAAACAACTCCAGAAGAGTGAAACAAAATGTTAGTGTTTTACTCACATGCAGAGAAATCCTTTTGTCAAGCAGAAGGGGGGAAGGAAACAGTAAATGCACTGCTAACAGAAGCAGGTGAAAAGATGTTAAGTGATATTTGATAAGGAGTTTCTCCTCGATTATCAATAAAAACACATTTGTGAAAGTACTGGAGGGAAGGGAAGGTGAGAAGAGAAATGGACACAAAAATAACGAGGAAGACATGCCAAGTTCAGGCCATTAAAAAGCTGGAAATAACTCAAGGACACAAAATTAAATGTCTGACAAAACATAACAGACAATAATATGAGTACACAGCACTCTGGAGAGGTTGTGGACTCAATATGAGTTGAGGGTTAAAGGGCAGAAGATCCTAATAGAGAAAATTAAATTGGAGAAAGAGAGAGGAACTTTCAGACCACGGAAACAGCATGAGAAAAAGGAAGTACTGGCTCAATTTGAAGAACAGGGGGTGGAGGTGGGGTGGTGGGAGAGCAGGTGGAATGAAGTGAAAAAAGGAAGGACTCTTGAGTGATGCTGAGGAACATGGGGTCAGAAAGAGAAGCCAAAGTCAATGAGAGGTTAAGCTCTAAGGTTAATATAGAAACAGCAGGGAGTAAAACAAGTAAAACAGAAAAAGAGACTCAGATGTATAGAACAGACTTGTGGACTCTGGGAGAAGGCGAGGGTGGGATGTTTCAAAAGAACAGCATTGAAACATGTATATTANAGATTGGAAGGGACTCTTCATTGTCTTTGTAAGGAATTCAAGTCAGAATTCTTTTTAGCCTAGGATTACTGGGACCTTGGATGAAAAATGCATCATTGTTGCAATTTCCAAGTATCTGTACTCAAAACTTTCATTAATTCCTGGCAGGCTCCTTTAAGTCCTAATAATCTGATTTCGGTTCCTTCCTCTCTACTGAGTGTGAGGATCAGCCAGTCACTCGTTGTTGGGGTTTTTTTGGCCCTGCTATGCAACTTGTGGAAACTTAGTTCCCCAACCCAACCAGAGATTGAACCCGGTCCCACAACAATGAAAGCAAAGAGTTCTAACCACTGGACAACTAGAGAATTCCCAGAGCAGCCATTCTTAAAACTTTTTTTTGGCACAAGAGTCAGATGGTTAACTCTCAGGGTCAGGAGCCATTTCCAGCTCTATCAGGACACCTTGCCCTTTTCTCTTCCCTGAAGAAAATACAATGTAAAACAAGACAGACCATCCATAAAGAAGCTAAGTTCTCATGTTGTTCAGTCACTCAGTCATGTCTGGCTCTTTGCAACCCCATGGACTGCAGCACGCCAGGCTCCTCTGTCCTTCACTATCTCCTGGAGTTTGCTCAAGCTCATGTCCACTGAGTTGGTGATACATACGACCATTTTGTCCTCTGTCACTCGCTTCTCCTCCTGCCTTCAATGTTTCCCAGCATCAGGGGAAATGAGTTGACGCTTCACACCAGGTGGCCAATGTATTGGAGCTTCAGCTTCAACACCAGTCCTTCCAATGAATATTCAGGGTTGATTTCCTTTAGGATGGACTGGTTGGATCTCCTTGCTGTTCTCACATGCTGACACTTAACATTGGTGACACTGCAGGAAGTATGTCTGCTCCTGAACTCACCAGCCTTCATTCTTTTTTGTCCATGACCCCACTGACCATTTTCTTCTTGAAATCTAAGGCACCTGTGATATTCCTTGCACTACTTTTCTTTGAAAGGAGAGAGGAACTAGCCATCACTATATGTATACATATAAATATATATATATGTATATATATATGTGTGTGTATATATATATATAAATTACCTCCCCATTTCCACATGGTTAACAAACATAGGGTCCGAAAGATGAACTGAACTGCCTCAAACTCCATAGCTACCAAAAGGCTGTCTGGCACATTGGCAGCCTCTTTTCCTGGGTGCTTTACTCCAACTGAATGTCTAAATAGATGACCAGGATTCTGTCCTTAGCTCTTGTCCATTGACACTGTCTTTGGTTATTGCTTTCAATGGTTCTCAACTATCATCTCTATGGAAATGACTCCCAAGTCTCCACTTCCAAACTCACTCCTTGCCATTCTTTGCAAGCCCCTAGAATGTAGCCTGCCAGGCTCCTCTGTCCATGCAAATTTTCCTAGTAAGAATATTGGAGTGGGTTGCCATTTCCTCCTCTAGGAGATCTTCCCAACCCAGGGATCGACCCCATGTCCCTTGCATTGGCAGGCGGATTCTTTACCACTGTGCCACCTGGGAAGCCTCCATGCTTCACAGCAGCCCATCAATGGTCTGTGGAATTCTCTAACCTCCTACCTGTGTTCCTTCCACTGGCCTGGTGTTGCTCAGGTGTTGGAAGATGACGCAAGTTCCAGGGTTGATGCCAAGGGTAAGGAAACAGTAAAAACAAGGTGACAATGGAAGCTGTGGGGGCAGCAGGGGTGGGCATAACAGAGACTTTCAGTCCTGGTATGAAGAAATGATATCCTTATATTGTTTAATTACAAGTCCATGGTGTTAGCACAGATGTCTTCATGACTAATAGACTAAACAACAAAAGCACATGAAACCACCCAGAGTCTCTGCCAATCTCTCCCAGGACAGGGCAGGGGTTGTGCAAAGTGTTTCGCACATTCTGGTTCTTAGGCAACTAGCTGCTTAAGAAACAAAGTTATATATGGGCTTCCCAGGCGGCACTAGTGGTAAAGAACCCACCTGCCAATGCAGTAGACACAAGAGACAGAGGTTCCATCCCTGGGTCAGGAAGATCCCCTGGAGGAGAGCATGGCAACCCATGGGACACCTGGAGAATCCCATGGACAGAGGAGCCTGGCGGGCTACAGTTCATAGGGTCACAAAGAGTTGGACACAACTGAAGCAATTTAGCACACAGTTATATATTTTTATTTGTCTTTTAAAAAAAAATGTGGAGCTAGTGATTCTAAGCTATCTCGCAGAGGTTTGTATTTTTAAGACAAATTACTCAAATGCATTCCCTGAAGTTCTGCACAGATAATCGCTCACCATTCTGTAATGTTTGTCTCCCTTCCAACCAAAAGAAGTTTACAGTCATAAACTATAACTTGAAAAGAATAAATAATTCAAACATCATACCCTAATAAACATGAGAAGGAAATGTCTGAACTATTTTCATGTACATGAACATAGTTCTGTGGTATGTAGTAATCTCATCTATCAAATGATATATGTAAAGCATTTAAACTAGCTTTATAATTATATTCTTGTTTGGCAGGTTTGAGTTTCGTTCCCTAGAACAACTTAAGAGTTGAAATATGAATGGTTATTGAAGTTACAGATTTAAAAAAATTTTTTTTAAGGTTTATACAATGAGTTTTAAAGCTTTGTAGGCAGAACTTTAAACACAGGATCTAGTAAAGTAACCTGAAAGATGCAGGTGGGGGCCATTCCCAGTTCTGCCAACAACTATATATCTAACCCCCTGAGATCATAGCTTTCACAGTGGATGTCTCAGCTTTTCACTCTAAAATAAATGCAAGGGCTCTTCAAAGTTTGCCTAGCTATAAAAACTCTAAGACCTACACATAAATTTTGTTGATCATTTCTGAAACATCAGGATTAGAAGTCTACTTCACAGACCAAGAGGAATGAGCTTGTTTACTGGGTCAAGGTGCGAGGCGTGGGGCCTCTGGGAGGTCACAGCCAAACCCCTTCTAGTCTTTCTCCCTTGGGATTGGCTCTCCGGTTAAAAGCATTCTTCTCTGAGGGCTGGTGGTAAAACAGGCCTGGGGATGCCTCCAAGCTTGGGAGGAGCCTGGTCGTGGATAGTGTGCGGGGCGGCACGTCGTCCATTTCTCTCAGGTCTCCAGCAGCAAAGCCACTCCATTCGTTTGCTTGGATCCGCCTCTCCTAGCCATTGGGTGGTAAGATCTCAAAGGCTGAGATCAGGTTGGAAGTGCAGGTGAGTCTAAAGGACCACTGAGTATTTTCTAAATGTTTTAATGAACCAGGAATTCTCAAATCTGCCTGCACAGAGCAAAGAGCAGCGCTCAGGATCCCCCCAGAATAATTAGACCAGACTTCAGAGGCAGGGCCCAGGCATCTGTAGTCTTTAAAAAAGATTCTTCAGGTGATTTTAACATTATGTCAATACAGAAAGGCCTGACTGCCTGATAGTTCAGTTGGTAAAGGATCCACCTGCAATGCAGGAGACCCCAGTTTAATTTCTGGGTCGGGAAGATCCCCTGGAGAAGGGATCTACCCACTTCAAGGGATCTACCCACTTCAAGAAGGCTACCCACTTCAAGTATTCTGGCTTGGAGAATTCCATGGACTGTATAGTCCATGGGGTCACAAAGAGTCGGACACAACTGAGCAACCTTCGCTCACTCACTCTCATCTCATCTGTAGCACAGGCAAATTTTCTTTGAATAATTCTGCTATGAATGGTAGAATGCGTTATTTATAAAAATATAAAAGACATGAAACAAAAATACATGATTGCTAATGTTTTGATTGTATTCAAATTTTTTATTTTTTGAAAAACTTAAGACAGTGATTTTAAATAATAAACATGGTATATTATAGACACTTTTTTTTAGACAGTTTATTAAATTTGGACTCCTACAGTTCTGCTGTGATGCTTTCTTCAACATGTACATAATTTCTTATCATTTTATCATCACTTCAAACTTGCTAATAAACAAACAATTGCTCTGTCTGCTTAAGTGAAGCTTCATTGGAAGGAAATACTCCACTATCACATAAAAAACACATATACAGAACAGTCATTTTTTTTATTTACAGACACAAGAAGTTTGTCCAGCCATTTGGGTTTTGCTGTTACACCGCCCATACTGAGATCAGCAAAAAACTAAGGAATAAGCAAGATTTCATTTCAGCAGTGCAAAGAGATGGCATCAACCAAACTTCATTAAACAAAACCAACAAATCACAAACACGGTCAGCAGAATTCAGCTTGTATGACAATGACTTAAATAAACAGAGTGGGTCACAACTAGACTGGTTTGCACTGTGCAACTTTCCTTAGGGAACAATACTACCCCCCATTTCACATAGAAAGGAATATGCATCAAAAGCCTTTGTTCATGAAGAAAATGCCCTTCAAACAAATTCATCATAAGGCAAAAAAAAAAAAAAAAAAAAAAGAATGAAGCAGTTTGGCCCAGAGAAAGCTTGCATATAATGTGTACACACAGTATATACAGGTTTACCAATATACTGCAATTTAAACCATGTATATACTCATTACACAATTAAATGAAACTGGCTCAGTAAAGTGAAAAAGTATTCATATAAATATGTAGTTATTGCTAATAAGTGACACATTATGTTTTGACATGGAAACTGCAGAAACTTAAAAAAGTGTTTGAAGCTGCCATATTGCCAGTGTCAGCCCCACAGCAGGCATTCATATGGACAACATGCCATCCGTTCCTGAAGAAAAAGCGAAAAAGTTCCACTACAATTAAAAAAAAAGAGAGAAAAAGGCTTATGCACTGTCCCTTACACTTTTGCCTTTTTTTTTTTTTTAAAACAAAAATAAGTCCAGTTCACCACAAGTTAAGCACAACCTGACAAGCGAGTTTAGCGGCATGATGGGGGGAGAATAGTGAAACAGAGCACGCATTTACAACCGGCACCGTTCTAGTCTATTTTGTCATACAAACTGGAATACAAAAATCCAATTTAAATAAGACTAGACTAACAGGAATTAAAAAAAAAAACACACACAGTAGACTTAGTTGGATACTGATTAATTTTAAGAGTAAAACTCATTCTGTCCCCTCTTAATACTCTACTGCAATTTATTTCTTGATGGCTAGAATATTTATTTACTTAAAAAAGATATTAAATACCTGTATCATGAAATTACATTCTTTTTAACAATAAGACAGACTGTGTAAGAAAATAGCTCATGTGTGAAATGTGTCTGAAATGCATTTTTCCTCACAACTATCAAAACATCCACTCACACTAAAACAAACCCCCCTCCCCCCACCCCCTGACAAAAAGTTAAGGAAAGATGGGGTGGGTCAGGCGAGGAGCAGGGAAGGAAAGATTCACCAGCACAGTGATTAACAATGGTTCAAGACAGAACCAACAAGAGTTGGTCAAAAAGATGCCTTCGAGACATGGCTACAATTAAAAAGCAAACTCAACCACTTTTGGTTCATTGCGGTGAGACCGAAAAAATATTTCTCACAGATTCATATAAATACTAGACTCCAGCTCTCTTGTTATTATTACTTTTAAAGTTTTTTCCGTTTGTTTTTGCAAGGCCTAGCTACCATATTACAATTTATATTCGCTCTGCAACGACTTCAAGAGGTAGGCATGAAGCATGAAAAAGTTTCTCAGTTAGTACCTCGGTGTGGGTGCTGCACTGCATAATCCTTTCACTTTAGACATGAAAAGGGATTACACCTTCTAGTCTCTTCTAACCACCCCAACAAAGCTGCTGCCATCTCATACATGTTCTAAGAGAGTGTACTCACCAGTTAAGAAACTTTCTCTACTGAAGGATACTGTCATAGTGTTTGTTGCAGAACATTCATTTATATATAGATTTATTTAAAAAAATAAACAACAACAACAAAAACCGAACCCAGGTTCCTAGAACCAATTCTCTTGATTCTCTACTTCCACAAAATAAAATATAACCATTTGGCCAAGACTACAGATGTGTTTTTTTTTTTCTTCCTTTTTTTTTTTTCTTTTCACAGATGCAAGCGCCATGCAAAAATAAATTAAAGAACAGATACCAAAACATACATGTGATAAAACTACTGAAGGTAGATTTTTTAAAAGTATTTATATAAACATAATTTATAATACTTCTCTTTTCTCCTTTATGTACAGTCACAAAGCTGTAGTTATACATCTAGAATTTCCTCAGCTGTGCCTCCACAGCGCAGTCTGTAGCGACCAGTTCTCCAGCTTATCGTTGGGTCCCATAATGCCGACAAAAAGATGTATATTGTCATGGATTCACGGATGAACCAAGCTACTGCATAGTCAAGTTTTGAAAAACACAGTGTGCCACCCTAGGAATTAAAAACACAAATTATTTACTGCCTGATTACAGACCCAGTTAAAAAGTGAAATGCTTCCATTTAACTCCATTAAATACATTACATAAAATCAAGTTTGGGGCTTCCCTGGTGGCTCAGTGGTAAAGAATCTGCCTGCCAACGCAGGAGACATGGGATCGATCCCTGACCCGGGAAGATCCCTTGTGCCACGGAGCAGCCAAGCCTGTGCTCCTGAGCCCAGGAACTGCAGCTACTGAAGCCTGTAGACCCTAGAACCTGTGCTCCACAACAAGAGGTACTGCAACGAGAAACCCACGCACCACAACTAGAGGGGGGCCCCTGCTTACTGTGACTACAGAAAACCCCACGCGACAAGACCCAGCACAGCCAAATATAAAATAAATAAATAAAAACTATTTAAAAAATATCAAGTTTGCTTCTTTAGATAATGTAACTGTCATGTTACACTGGTTAAGAAAAATGTTCATTAGGAATAGAAGCAGTATTAAAATAAACAGCTACCCTAACATATTTTAAGTTTGAAGACTTGTCAATTTGCTTTAATATCATTTTTTCTGGAGTCTTCATAAAAGTGACTGTATAACCAGCTGAAAGCTGAAAATCAAGTTCCGTTTTATGTCCACATTCTGCTAAGGAAACTAATGCTTAACTTGATTTTAATCTTCACTGAGGGGCTGAAAAATGGCTCAGACAGATTTTCAACTTTTTCTAAATCAAAACTATTTTAGTTCCACCAAATGACCTCCAACCTTTGCACACCTATCCACATACCTGGACACCCCTGAGTTGAATGTAGTCAAATATAAACCATGCCAGGCAATGACACATGAAAAATACCATAATATCCCATCTGAATACATGGTGGGCTGCCCATCCAATAATTAAACTGGCAACAAAGCATTCTGAAATTGGCTCGCAAATTATTGTAGCAGGAAGCATGTTAATTCGCAATTTGGTCCACCTTGGGAAAAAAAAAAAAAAGGATTTTCTTTAAACAACAGCCTGATTACAAGACTGATCAATTTTTCTCAAAATGATCAACATTATACCCTGTTATTTAAAGGCCTTTTATATATGCTTTAAAGAGTATTTAATGAATCACTTTTCTATTTTTATTTAGTGTCTCAAAGAAAAATGTCTATCAATTCGTTTGCATATCCTATACTCTGGTGAGTAAAGATCATAAAATTCCAGGGGTAAAAAAGTTAGAAAATAGAGGTCAGCATAAAAAAACCCCAAAGTCTCAACATCTCTTTTTTGAAAGCTTACAATGGAAAGAAAATACACTGGGACAGTAACTTTATTTTAATGAAGAAGTTAACTTCTCTTTTCTGGAACAAAACAAAATCTGACTTTTCGTTTGTTTTTTTTTTAACCAAGTTAAGACCATGTAAAAATATTCCCCATCCCCTTTTTCTTTTAATGAAGTATAAAAAGAAGAAAGCCAGCTGACTTACCTGATCATTCTGGACTGAAATTGAGAAATTGAATACGAGCCAGAGTTTTGCATTGCAACTTGAGTGGACATTGCAAACCTCCAACCTCTGAAAATTAAGACAGTTATAAAATGAGCTATGATCATGAACACATATATGCAAGGATGACAGGTATATGTATTTATTCATTACTGTAAGAGTAAGCAGCTTCATTTACAGTAGCCAAGATATGGAAGCAACCTGTCAATCAGCAGATGAATGGATAAAGAAGATGCATTCCATGCATACAATGGAATATTGCTTAGCCATGAAAAAGAATGAAATCTTGCCATTTACAACAATGTGGATGGACATACAGGGTATTAGGCTTCGTGAAATAAGTGAGACATAGAAAGACAAATATTCTGTTATCACTTATATGTGGAATTTAAAAAATAAATGAGTGGTTAAACAAAAAAGAGACTCACAGAGTTAGAGAACTACTGGTTACCAGTGGGGAGAGGGAACGTGGGAGGGGCAAGATAGAGGAAACGGATGAAGAGATACAGACTACCATGTATAAAATAAATAGGCAACAAGGGTATATTGTATAGCACAGGGAAATATAGTCATAATTTTGCTATAACTTTAAAAATGGAGTATAATATATAAAAATACTGAATCACTATGTTGTACACCTAAAACTTTATAATACTGTAAATCAGCTGTTCTCTTTTTTTTTTTTAAGTGAGCAACTGCCAGTGTTCAGGGTGAGCCTCATCCCAGGATAGCACCTTACATAGGGTGCATTATACTTAAAAACATTTCAGTCATTACAGAAGCCCATGAGAGTACCACCTAAGAACTGGAAGGAACTACAACCCCTCAGTTCACAGTTTAATAAACTTAAAATACAGACATTCTGAAAGTACTAAATGGAGTGGGGCCTGTATTTAACAGTCTCTGAACACTATTATCCAAAAAAAGGAGTAGTGGGGGATATGTATGTGAATATTCAAGAAGAAATATAAACAAAAGTGGCACATTCCACATCTCATGAGAAACAATATGAAACCACGGACCATACTAACACCACCAGAAGATAAGTTTGAAAACATACTTCAACTTTTAAGATCACACCTTCAGTAAATTATCACACAAGGAAATAATCCCCTTTAAAGAAGCAAATGAGTGTCATTTTGTGATAGAGAAGTGTGATTAAGCCAATCGTGAATCATTAAGTAGCTTCTTAGCAAAGTATCAAATAATCTGAGAAATTTCAAAATTTGAAATCTCATTCTTTAAATTTTCACCTACTGGCTTTATGATTGCACTGATACTTTTAATTCTTCTAAAACACATAAAAATTTACATTCATAATAATGAAAATTTACAGTCACAGAGAAGCTTCAATTTAACCACTTCAAATCACCTAAATTTTTTTTAAGAGTTTACATGTATTTATTTTTTAAATTGAAGTACAGTTAATTTACAATTTAGTTTTCAAGTGTACAGCAAAGTGATTCAGCATATACTGGGTTGGCCAAAAAGTTTGTCCGAAAACCCCAAACGAACTTTTTGGCCAACCCGGTATATACTACATATAGGTGTGCTATACAGTAGGTCCTTGTTTACTTGATGGTGGTGGTTTAGTCACCAAGTCTTCTTCAATTCCTGTGGCCCCATGGACTGCAGCCCACCAGAGTTCTCTGTCCATGGGATTTCCCAGGCAAGAATACTGGAGTAGGTTGCCATTTCCTTCTCCAGGGGGCCTTTCCTACCAGGGATCACACCTGCATTGCAGGCAGATTCTTTACCACTGAGCCGCCAGGGAAGCCCCCTATTTCATATACAGTAGTGTATATACATTAACCCCAAACTCCTAATTTATCTCCTCCCCCGTCCTCCACTATCCCCTTTGGTAAACATTAAGTTTGTTTTCTATGTCTGTGAGTTTACGATATTTGTCTTTCTCTGTCTGACTTACTTCACTCAATATGATAACCTTTAGGTCCATCCATGTTGCTGCAAAAGACAGTATTTCATTCTTTGTTTATGATTGAGTAATATTCCATTACATATTCAGATCACATCTTCATCCATTCATCTGTCAATAGGCATGTGGGTTGCTTCCATGTCTTGACTATTGCAAAGAATGCTGCTATGAACACTGGGGTGAATGTTATCTTCAAATTAAGACTTTTCTTCAGAAATATGCCCAGGAGTGAGACTGCAGGATCATATAATAACTCTATTTTTAGTTTTTTAAGTATATTCCATACTGTTTTTGAAACCGCATTAATTTGAAGAACGTAGAGAAATTAGAACATTTATTTGCTTCATTAGTGTGTACCTGAGTAATTAGTAGGAATTACATTATAAAAGTATTAAACTATTCTGTACTTACTAGCAAAAAATAAAATAGCTCTAACCCATGGGTTTAACAAACAGAAAAAGCGAACATAAGTTCGGAAATAAAAAATACAACAGCCTAATTTGATTTAATTTTCTTACCGATCAGCTATTGCTTTGGCCATAAAGTAATCTTCAGCAATATATTGAGCAAAAGCTATAAGCCCTCCTGCTTGATCTAACACATCCTTTCTCATTAAACAAGACATTCCACCATGTCACTGAGCTTCTCAAATTCCCCATTTTTCAGTGTATTTTTCATAAACAGGGTGGACACTAATATTCTGTCTCCCATTTTACTGCCCCTTTCCTAGAGTGCCTTGCAGTCATAAAAAATGCAAACTGCTAAATTAATGGTAGAATAAAATGGTCATCCAAACTTACCCAACTTATCAGATATAAAACCTACTTATTATTTATATCTTAGAAATGTTGCCTTTTCTAATTAGTCATCTCTGTATCCTAGGGGGATTGGTCCTACCTGAAGCCCTGGACCAAAAATCCACCAATACGATTTGTGTATTGTCTACACCTGTCAGATTACTTACCATACCTAATACAATGTAAACGCTATGTAAATAGTTGCTGGCTCGAGGCAAATTCACATTTTGCTTTTGTAACTTTTTTTTCAAATACTTTGAGTCTACAGTAGGCTGAAGCCACAGATGTAGAACTCACAGATATGGAGCGCTATAGCAGCTCGAAATGGAGAGAAGCGATCTTTCTTAAAGGCACAGAATAAGCTAATAATCACAGATGAAGAATGCGATTCTTCCTACCTAACCTATACCCAGACTGGAATGAAGCCCTAGTATTTGTGGGATAGAACTGAACCAAACTTCTAAAACTAAAAACTCCTATCTTAACTCCTTAAGCAGTTATTAAGTAAGGTTTTAGAAAAGAGGTGGGACTGGGCACTATGATGAAGGCTCCCACGATTTCTTTACAGACTGGAATAATTCCTCGGGCCTATCTCCATTCACTTTAAGTATGACAGGGTGACTTTTAGGGATTAAACTTAAACTAAGGGAGTGAGTATAATCTGGGAGATATCTATTATTGACATACATATCAAGTTGGATATTTCCAAAACAAAAACATAACATGGAGCATAAGAATAAAATGCATTTAATTTTAAAGCAACTACCTAGAGTTTCTTTACTAAACAAAAATTGTAGTATCTGGGCTTCCCCAGGGTCTCAGTGGTAAGCTTGCAGTGCAGGAGATTCGGGTTGGATCCCTGGGTCAGGAAGATCCCTGGGAGGAGGGCATGGTAACCCATTCCAGTATTCTTGCCGGGAAAATCCCATGGACAGAGGAGCCTGGCAGGCTATAATCCATGGGGTCACAAAAGAATGGGACAGAACGGAAGCAACTGAGCATGCATATACATGTATGATTCACACTGCCAAAGGTTGAATGCAAGTTTCTACACTGTACCTTCACCCTCAGATGATTGCAATTCAAAAGAATATAAATACAGATATGATTCAAGTTGGTATATTTGGAGACTGAAACTATATACCCTTCTGTTATAACTTTAAGACAAGTCTTTTCTCCTAATGTTTAACAGCACAGGAATGGTTAAGTATAGGACACACTTATATAACAAACTATGATCGAGCCAATAAAAATTACTTTTATAAAATAATATTAATGATATGGGGAACAGTTTATGAAGTACAAGAATAAGACACAAATTACTTTTAGTATAATATCAACTTTGCTTTTTAGAAAGTACACAGAGGAAAAAAGTCTTAATGCTAAAATAAACTAATTTTTAAAAATAAAAACTTCCTCTAACTGGCAGGGTTTCTGGGAGTGGTTTGTATTTTGATTTATTCTGCTTATTATACTTCCTCCTAACTTACAGTAAGTGTCCTACACGTAAGTCTGTATACTGTTAAAACGTGTGGAGTAAAAATGGAAAACATGAATTGTTCAGATAATTTTTAGAAATCTGTTGTAGAAGGAAATCAAGTGGATTTTACAATGATTCATATGAGCAATTTTCCTTTTTTTGTATATATTGAAATACTTCATGATACTTAAAATGCATCCTTTTCAGACTGGATCTTTGAAAGAACTGTTAACACATACTTTTATGTAAGTCAGTAATCTGGAACTGAACTCAAGAACTGAAAGTAAGGACCACAAGGCAAAAGAATATACGGTGCTAAGCTGGTGATAAGACCACGAGGTGTTTCCTGGGCACATCTGTTCCTTGCCAGAGCACAGTTCAGCTGGAAGGGATTCCAGGGCCCCAAGCGTTTGTTCACTAATGAAAACAGCTCCTCTCAACTTAAGGCTGCCAGTACTCAGCAGGTTGTGTGTGTGCTAAGTCGCCTCCATCGTGTCCAACTCCTTGCGACCCTATAGTCTGTATAACCACCAGGCTCCTCTGTTCATGGGATTCTCCAAGCAAGAATACCGGAGTGGGTGGCCATGCCCTTCTCCAGGAGATCTTCCCGACCCAGGGATGGAACCTGCATCTCTTGTGTTTCCTGCACGGGCAGGTGGGTTCTTTACCACTAGTGCCACCTGGGGCGCTCACTCAGCAGGTTAAAGCAGACTTCATACAGTTAAGTCCAAGCACCTCAGCCCACTCTCAGCATAGCCTCAAGCTTCTGGGAGATTAGGGATCTGATAAAAAGCATATCTATAGGCACTGTACTTACCTGTTCTAACGTAGCAGCAAAGCCCTGTCTGTCTGCTACGTACGGCAGCCCGTGAACCAGCCCTACTTTTTCTGTCATTTGGTTAACCATGTCCGTGAGTGTGTCTGGAATCACTATGATGCAAAAGAAAAGGTGCAGAGGGAGAGAGGAAAAAATTTCCTTTTAGTAAAATGCCCATGAATATAATATATTCTGTGATTTACTAAATTCTTAATAAATGTTTTCTTTGAATATAGGTCTAATAAAATGAATCTCAATCACTTTTCTGAGTAGAATAGAAAATTTCAGAAAGGCTAATATGTGGTAGGGAATTTATTCTGGACCTTTGCAGGCTGTTGAATACCTAATATGTACCAGAGGTGGGATGTATCTTGAAAATGTTAACAGTCCCTGTTTCTGAACCTCCAGACTGGAATAATGGACAATGTGTCCTAGTGGAAGATACAGGAGCAAAAGTCAAAGGACCTCAGTGTTCATTCTGGCTCCTCCATCCCAATCATAGGAAATGAGCCTCCTCTTTCTGAGAGTATGAGATGTTCTTTCTCTTAAAACTGCTAACTAGAACTGAATGAATATACCCGATGGAGGTTTCTACACTGAAAACATAACAAATATATGACAGTAAACAATTTAAGACAGCAGATGTGAAAAATGAACCTAATCTCTGACCAAGAACTGTTAGTCCTGTAATGATCTAATTAAGTTGAAGTGCCACATTTATTACTAACTTTCAGATTTTAAGCTGATAAAATTTAAATCATTGTCCCATTTTTAAAGAGAAAAAAATCTCATATGATTTTACATGACTTCATTTTTATTTCCTTCAAGTATTTAAGAACTCAATCTACTGTATAAAATTGCATCTGGGCCTTATATATACATGTAGTCTGGGAAGTGCTTCTCAACTGCCGCCCTGCAGGGGACATGTGGTGTGTCCAGAGACAGTTCTGATCATCACAACCAACAGAGAGGTGCCACTGGTAGGGGCCAGGGATGCTGCTAAAACATCTGCAGGATGGCCTTGACTACAAAGAATTACCCAGAAAAAACTGAGGCGTTAGAATATAATGGAATAATATGGAACACTGAAATTATAAATGTTTTTAAAATGCAAAAATACAAATTATAATTTCAATAAATAAAAGTTATCCTGCTAAAATCTGTTAAGTAAAAAGCCATGAATGTGTTCTAAAAATGTATGTAATTCCAGTAAAATATGTACCAATTAACTTCTGTCCCTTTGCATGAGATAGTATACTGCACATGCCACAAACAGATTAAAGATAAGTATCACTTGAATAAGGGAAAACTTAGACCTATGAAAAGGCTCATAGACTGTATAATGTACCACAACTGTTTTTTTTTTTAAATGGTTGGAATTTTCTCTTCAAAATGAAAGCATTTTCTAATTTAGTATAAAAATACCACAAAATTTTAGTAAGTATAACTTGACATATACCATGAAATAATGATAAAATAACTTACTTTATTAGGTAAAGAAATATGATTGATAAATGTATTTTCAGGTTGCTCTTGGCATTTTATTATCGAACGAATAATTTTATAAAATAAGTAAGAAAAAACCTCACCTCTTATTCCACTATCACAAATCCATATAAGATCATACTTCGCAACTTCATATCCTGGCATTAAGTTATTAATCTTAGGATTAATGCCAACCTTTTTGCCACCTAAAATTTTAAAGTATAGCAGTGAACAATTCATGTCATATTGAAAATATTTTCTATTATACATATACCTAGTAGAGAGAAGTGCAAAGTACTTGCATATTTAATAATTAAAACAAATATATTTTAACATCATGCTTATTATTCACAATAACATATTAGAAAAAAGTTCATTCTCAAAAAGAAAAGCACATCATTTATCTTTGAAAATTCATTAGTTTCAGTTTTCTAATTAAGAGCTTGTGTTAACAGGAAACACTAATCAACATTTAATAGCAAGTATACCTCCAACAGGGTGTATTACAAAAATGAATTCTACCACTCAATCTCAATTATAATCAATGAGATATAGAGAAGGCCATAGATTGGAATTATTAAAGAAACAAAAATAACAGACTCTCATGTGTGACTGATGAGTAAAACAAATTTGGGATAATTTTGTTAATCCCTGATATAAAAAACAATATTTGTATTTATAACTTGTCTTCTCTAAAGGATAGAAACACCTTTCACTATATCTAACAAATATGCATAAGTAAACATGTTAATAACTTCAATGGTGTCTAGGACCCTAATCTACAGTTTAATGCAAAGATGATATAATATATTAAAGCAAAAAGGTTATTGTAAAATGTGTTACTTACCTATAAACAATCTAGCATCAACATTTGGATATTTCCCAAGAAGCTTCTTACACACATCAATGGCTGGATCATCATGGTCTTGGACACAGAGGAGTACTTCATACTAGTCAAAGAACATATTTTATGTAAATTAACCTCTTACAAAGATAACTACTTATTATTAGCATTTACTGGTGGATCAAAAAGCATTAAGAAAAACAAGCAATTGTACACACAAAGTTTAGAAGTTAAGAGAGTACTCATAATGGATGCAAACACTCAAGGGATTATCAAGTGTTGCTTTAACTGAGAGCAACTTCTCCAGAAGGGGCCTGTTTGCCAGCCAAAGAGAGAATGAAGAGATTGGCAGGGCCCACAGCTGAAGTGTGGCTGGATTCCCAGCTTCTCCATGCCATTGTCACTGAAAACTTACCAAATGCTCACAGAGTGGCCAGCAGCGTAAAAGCAACGCAGAAAGCCAGAGAAACGAATACACCCTTCGTTCTCTAGAAGCCTTGTCTCTGAACTTACTATTATTTCATCAAGGTGCTAAAAATTACACATCAAAGACCATTATGATACATTTAAAGGGCTTTCCCAAACTCTCCCAAGACAAAGTGACATTAGATTTTCTGTTGAATAATAATTTTCTGAAGTAAAATAGAACCTGACTTGATTAAAAATGCAGGGATTCCCGGGTGGCTCAGTGGTAGAGTCTAACTGCCAAAGCAGGAGACACCGGGGACATGGGTTCCATCCCTGCGTCGAGAGGATCCTCTGGAGGAGGAAATAGTGACCCACTCCAGTATTCTTGCCTGGGAAATCCCCAAAACAGAGGAGCCGGGGGCGGGGGGATGTTTTTTTTTTTAAATGGTTGGAATTTTCTCTTCAAAATGAAAGCATTTTCTAATTTAGTATAAAAATACCACAAAATTTTAGTAAGTATAACTTGACATATACCATGAAATAATGATAAAATAACTTACTTTATTAGGTAAAGAAATATGATTGATAAATGTATTTTCAGGTTGCTCTTGGCATTTTATTATCGAACGAATAATTTTATAAAATAAGTAAGAAAAAACCTCACCTCTTATTCCACTATCACAAATCCATATAAGATCATACTTCGCAACTTCATATCCTGGCATTAAGTTATTAATCTTAGGATTAATGCCAACCTTTTTGCCACCTAAAATTTTAAAGTATAGCAGTGAACAATTCATGTCATATTGAAAATATTTTCTATTATACATATACCTAGTAGAGAGAAGTGCAAAGTACTTGCATATTTAATAATTAAAACAAATATATTTTAACATCATGCTTATTATTCACAATAACATATTAGAAAAAAGTTCATTCTCAAAAAGAAAAGCACATCATTTATCTTTGAAAATTCATTAGTTTCAGTTTTCTAATTAAGAGCTTGTGTTAACAGGAAACACTAATCAACATTTAATAGCAAGTATACCTCCAACAGGGTGTATTACAAAAATGAATTCTACCACTCAATCTCAATTATAATCAATGAGATATAGAAAAGGCCATAGATTGGAATTATTAAAGAAACAAAAATAACAGACTCTCATGTGTGACTGATGAGTAAAACAAATTTGGGATAATTTTGTTAATCCCTGATATAAAAAACAATATTTGTATTTATAACTTGTCTTCTCTAAAGGATAGAAACACCTTTCACTATATCTAACAAATATGCATAAGTAAACATGTTAATAACTTCAATGGTGTCTAGGACCCTAATCTACAGTTTAATGCAAAGATGATATAATATATTAAAGCAAAAAAGTTATTGTAAAATGTGTTACTTACCTATAAACAATCTAGCATCAACATTTGGATATTTCCCAAGAAGCTTCTTACACACATCAATGGCTGGATCATCATGGTCTTGGACACAGAGGAGTACTTCATACTAGTCAAAGAACATATTTTATGTAAATTAACCTCTTACAAAGATAACTACTTATTATTAGCATTTACTGGTGGATCAAAAAGCATTAAGAAAAACAAGCAATTGTACACACAAAGTTTAGAAGTTAAGAGAGTACTCATAATGGATGCAAACACTCAAGGGATTATCAAGTGTTGCTTTAACTGAGAGCAACTTCTCCAGAAGGGGCCTGTTTGCCAGCCAAAGAGAGAATGAAGAGATTGGCAGGGCCCACAGCTGAAGTGTGGCTGGATTCCCAGCTTCTCCATGCCATTGTCACTGAAAACTTACCAAATGCTCACAGAGTGGCCAGCAGCGTAAAAGCAACGCAGAAAGCCAGAGAAACGAATACACCCTTCGTTCTCTAGAAGCCTTGTCTCTGAACTTACTATTATTTCATCAAGGTGCTAAAAATTACACATCAAAGACCATTATGATACATTTAAAGGGCTTTCCCAAACTCTCCCAAGACAAAGTGACATTAGATTTTCTGTTGAATAATAATTTTCTGAAGTAAAATAGAACCTGACTTGATTAAAAATGCAGGGATTCCCGGGTGGCTCAGTGGTAGAGTCTAACTGCCAAAGCAGGAGACACCGGGGACATGGGTTCCATCCCTGCGTCGAGAGGATCCTCTGGAGGAGGAAATAGTGACCCACTCCAGTATTCTTGCCTGGGAAATCCCCAAAACAGAGGAGCCGGGGGCGGGGGGGAGGTTTGCAGAGTTGGAAGCAACTGAAAGCGCGTGCGTGTACACACACACACACACACACACACAAGTATGCACATATCCTCCTGAAGAGCATGCTTAGCCGTTTAACTATGAAACCACCCAGGATTTAATTTTGCTCAGAACTATGTTTACTCTGACAGTAAACTACGGAAGTCATTCCTTAGCACTTGGCTGGCTGGGTCAAAATCATCATGGGACAGTTTTTTCCAAAAACAGAATACTGGGCCCCATCCTTAAACTTTTGAATCAGAATCTCTGAGGTGATTCTGACACATAATCAGGTTTATAAAATCCAGAGCTCTAAGTTACAATTTTGTAAACTACCAAAGTTTTTTAAAAAGTGTTTGCTTTCACACATAAAGATGTTACTGTATTAGTATGTGGGCTATGTATTCTAAGCGGTAACTTTTTTCAAAAATGGTGATAAATTCTCACTGACTCTAAAGCAAACTTCCTACCAAACTCTCCAAGATAGAGTGAACATTTTTAAGCAGAGGAGGAAAGTTAATTATGTCCATGAAAAAAGATAACAAAGCTATATGATCTAAAAAATACAAAGGTGGCTCAGCGGTAAAGAATCCATTTGCAATGCAGGAGATGCAGGTTCAACCCCTGGGTGGGTAAGACCCCCTGGAGAAGGAAATGATAACCCATTCCGGTATTCTTGCCTGGGAAAATCCCATGGACAGGGGAGCCGGGTAGGCTACAGTCCATGGGGTCACAAAGAGTCGGACACGACTGAATGACTAAACAAACAACATACGAGGAAGAAGGTAATGGGAAGGCTTGTTTGATTTAGTTCCATTGATACGCATACACAAGTAAAAAGTGTGGAAAAAATGCATACAGTGCCTTGAGCGCAATAATTAATTACTGTCTGCCTAATATACATCATCTCAGCAAAAAGTGGCAGCATAGAATTTAATAGTTGAGCACTTAAGGACCAGGACTAAGGTAAATGAAAGTTTAGCTAACAAGGTAAGATTTTTTTTTTCAAGTGAAAAAAAAAATTTTTCTTAATAATTTAAGTAGAGGGGAAAGCAATGTACACTTTCCTCATACTTTCTACCTATAGTTATTACACAGTCTATCCAATATCTACCTTCATGATTGACCAAAATTACCACCTGAGAGGCACTGAAATATAACTAAGCAACTTTACAGCCACTGGCCTCCAGAAATCAGATAAAAATCTGAGAACAGGATGAGCACCATTCCTGCCACACCCTAAAATTTCTTCAAAGGTTGACTCTAAGACCCATAAAACATCAGCCATCTTCCCAACCAAAATTTCTGCTTGAACCACCAAGAGGCAGTGACCTTAATGATGAAGATTAGAAAGGTTAAGTGGCTTCCCTGATGACGCAGCAGGTGAAGAATCCACCTGCAATGCAGGAGACAAAGGAGATGGAAGTTCGATCCCTGGGTCAGGAAGATCCCTCGGAGGAGAAAATGGCAACCCACTCCAGTATTCTTGCCTGGGAAATCCCATGGACAGAGGAGCCTGGCAGGTTACAGCCCAAAAGGTCACAGAGAACTGGACATGACTGAACACACACACACACACGCAAGTGACTTTTCAAAGGGTGTAAAGAACGATTCGCTTTCCTACGAAGTGAGCCTCTCAGTCATGCTTGCTCTAAAGAGTTCAGTTTTTTCAAACATTGCATACATAGTTCTATGCTTTTAGAGTTTATGCGGCTTTACAGGAGTAAGTGAATATAGTGAAAGAATATGTTTACAAGTAATACAATTCCATACATTATTAAAAATCTTTCAGCTATTTCCCCAGCAAAAGAAAACCCTCTAATATAGGACTAGACATCTACTTGACGGTAAGATAAAAGCTATACTAGGTTGCAGCAAAAACTTTTCAGAAGTATATAGTGTTAGTATGAGCAAGGGAGGTGTCTGTGTGTGTCAGCCATTCAGTCAGATCCAGCTCTTTGCTACCCTATGGACGGCAGCCCCCTCCTGCAGCCTTTGTCCTTGGAATTCTCCAGGCGAGAATACTGGAGTGAGTGGCTATTCCCTTCTCCCAGGGATCTTCCCGAATCCAAATGCAAGATTTAGAATTTTTCTTTTATTGATTATGTATCTTAAACTTAATTTCAAATGAAAAACAAATACCTCCTTATTAGCCAAAAAATGCAAATGAAATTCAATTTACATCACCTAAAAAATGTTCAGACTCTTATTAAATAACTTTCGCTTTGTTGTTTCTGATATCGAAACTTAAACCAAATTGGAGGCAGTATTCCAAGTGTTCTCTGAAGTGTTAGATTTTAACCTGGAACCTTCATTTTCAGCTCTGTGTTTGAGCTCTGGGTTTGCCAGAGCCCAAACATGTAATTTGCTAGGAATCTCTGTATTTGAATAGTTAAATCATGCCAACTACACTGCAACTGGTAAACACAAGATAGTAAGTTGGTTAAAAGTTTTCTTAACTGACACAAGAACAATTTTTCAGATACGTTTATACTACCAAAAGAACATAAATATAAACATAAAAATAACATAAACATAAAAATAAAGCATTTATTAAAAATATTTTAGGAAAACATTTATGTTATAAATCTGAAAGAAATACAAGGTATAGTAAATTCCACTATAAATGGGCACAGTAATAAATACATACAATCTAGAAATAACCCCAGAATGTTGTAGATGAGGTTAGCCTCATCTTAGTAAGCTTTCTATACAAATAGCTAAACTAAATTTCCCTTTTTCTTTTCAAACAATGAAATGACTGAAAGCCTAAGTCCAACAGAGGTATAGATAAAGTCCAAGAGAGGTATAGACAATCTGTAAACTGCAATTTGGTCCTTTGATATTTAAGAATGAAATATCTGAATCATACATGCTACTTCCATGAATAAATTTAGATGCATAAATGATACTCAATTTAGATACATAAATTAATATTAGAAAAATCTCCTCAATGATTCAGTCCTGTAGATATTAGGACTAAAAACTGTACTGCAGTAAATCATATAAAATATTCTCTTAGAGTAGAAAAATATTTTAACACCTATTAATCAATTATATTGCATATCAAGTAGGAATATCTTGAACCATTTATAAATAACTACACATTTAAAGAAAAATGTTATGATGATATTTAGATTATAGCAGAATATAATTAGTTCTGTAACAGGATGGACTTAGACCCCAAATGTCTAGAATAGTCTCAGCCACTGAGTAAATAATGAACCATTTGTTAATACATTTGTCCTAGGGTAAATTTTGAGTGAAAGATAGATGCTTCCTTTGAGTGAGGGGAAGATACTTTGTAAGAAAACTGCTCTGAATTCAAAGTTTTGACAAGTTATTATTACAACTTACTTGCTTTCAAGAACTATATAGTTTATACAATTTTTCAAATTTATCTGGTAAAGTTCTAGTCTTTCAGAATTAATAGTTTTATTACATGTATTATGCTGATCTTTCAATAACTGAACCTATTTTCAATCTTCTACAATTCTTTATTGTCATCACTGACAATAAAGAATCCAAGTATGCCACCAGACTTTCAACACTGTAAACCCATCTCCTATTTGCAAAAAAGAAAAGAAAATCACAATTACCATAACCTCAATCTGTTAATAACTCTGATCATTAATTTTAAAATTCTTCATACGGCCACAATTTACTAGAGTAAAGCCATCAGGCCACTTGAGATGCAGATTACTGCATCTTTCTGATATGGCTGAACTTCTCTCTAAATGCCTTCTTTTATACTAATGCCAAATAAACAATCGATTTTGTGAAAATTAGTTTTATTTATTTTTTATTATTATATTTTTCTAACAAAAAATTTCCCAAGGAATAAATATCAATATAAGGTAGATTTATAAGATATTTAAAGCACAGATATCTTTTAGGGCACTTAGTATAATAACAGTCTCACCAAACTTTAAACCTAGAAATTCAGAACAAGTACCAGTAAATAAACCTTTTTGCACATGTCTAAAACTAAACAAAATTTTAGAATTTCGTGTTTTTTATATATATATATATATATATGCATGCGTGTGTGTGTGTGTATGCATGTGTGTTCAGTGGCTTCACACATGTCCGACTCTTTGTGACCCCGTGGACTGTAGCCCGTCAGGCTCTTCTGTCCATGGGATTCTCCAGCAAGAACACTAGAGTGGGTTGCCATGCCCTCCTCCAGGGGATCTTCCCCACCCAGGAATCGAACCTGCATTTCTTGCCTCTCCTGCATTGTCAGGTGGGTTTTTTTTTTTATCACTAGTGCCACCTGGGAAGTCATATATATATTTCCAAATGGCTTATAAGGTTCCACATCAAATTAATAGGGAAAAAGAGTTATATCTAGAACAAAAACGTTTCTGTACTTTTGGAAAACAATGTTTACATTTGACAAATTATTAAAGTCTCCTGGGCTTGGCAGTTACACAAATGTTCATTTTGTGACTACATGCCTCCTTGATGACACAAACACCTCACACTCAGATTTGTGTAATTTCAGTGGCTTAATTTGTCTCTTGTAGAATATTTGCCACTGTGCTTGTTCTTTTAAAAGCAAATAAAATGCTGTGAGATCAACATTTTCCTTTAGAGTGCAGGTACTCTGCACTTTGCTCTGTTTTCTCTGTTTTCTATTTACACAATAACAATTCTTTTATAATTAGAAAATAAAATTGTGAACTAAAAAAGAATAAAAACAATCTCTTGCATATAACATGCATTTTTGTAATGTGTCCGTACAACTTTCTCCTTAACCAAATAAATGCCTTAATGATATAACTAAGTGGAAAAGAACTAAGTGACAAAAATCTAAGTGAAAAACTATAGCTCTGGAGATAACTCCAGATTGTATTTAAAAAAAAAAAAAACAAAAAACAAAAAACTTCATTCAGAAGAAGAAATTGATTATTGATTCATCCCACATGTTCATAATTAACAGATACATATTTTCCTGGGGTTATTTTAAGAAACTCTTTAAATCCACAGCTAACTTCAGAAACTATTTAAATTTAATGACTATTATCTTACAAGAGTGGCAACATAAAAATTCTGTAACTAAGTTTCAAGAGTGTTTGAATACAGAAAGGGGAAAGGGCTAGATGATGGTTAAAAAAATTGAAATGTGAGATCAAGTTCCACAAGGATAAATGCATATCCTTTTTCATTTTCACTGCAACTCTCACGAAGTAAGATTTTTATACTCAAACTACCAGGCACTTAACAATGCCTGAGTTCCAGGAGCTTTACTCAGGGATTTCTAATTCATTCAAATCAGGGGGATTCCCTGTGGCTCAGCTGGTAAAGAATCTGCCTGCATTGCAGGAGACCCAGGTTTGATCCTTGGGTTGGGAAGGTCTCCTGGAGAAGGGAATGGCAACCCATCCCAGCATTCTTGCCTGGAGAATTCCATGGATAGAGGAGCCTGGAGGGGTATAGCCCATGGGGTCACAAAGGGTTGGACAAGACTGAGCAACTAACACTTTCACTTTCAATTCAGATCAACATATGGGTAGTTAAAAAAGGAATTAATACCCCTTCCTCAATCCCATTTCTGTCCTGTGACAACTACTACTATTATTACTATTACCACTACTATTAACATTGCTAAAGCATAAATTTGATGAAGCCAACACCATTATGAATTTTTAACAACTTCACTTGATACCGTGTCAAAATTCCTCTGTGTTTACTATAAGTTAAATTAAAAAAAGGCAGGGTTCAGTCCATTCCTATGTGTACAACACTGCACTTACACTTACCTTGGGATAATCCAACTCAAAGAATGTTTCCAAGTTGTTGATTAGGTTAGGATCTACTCCTTTCAGTGGTTTCAGAAGAGACACCCCTGGCAGCTTGCTATATGGCTGTTTGTCGGTTGCCTTCTTGTTGAGGTGTAGTCGGCTAAAAAGCAAATGATATATATATTAACATACATTTCTGGAGAATATCTTAGTGCCAAATCTATATAAAGTACAGATCAAGCTACCAATAAATTACTGAATTCTAAGTTAAAAAAAAAATAAATGGCAACCTTTTAAAAGGGGCCCCGGAAAAAAAAAAAAAGAACAAAAAAAACAACCAAAGCCCCAAAAAAGAAAAACCGAAAGAAACAAAAAGAAAGGCCCAATGAAGGCTGGAGCTTAAGACTGTTGCTTTTTGCTGTATTCTCAGAAGCCAGAACTATGCCAGCCCTGGAGCAAGCATTCAATAAATACTTGGTAAGGAATGAATGACAGTGTTATTAGCCCACACATTAACTGCCTTTCCTCCCAAATCACCATCAAGGTGGCCAAAGAACTATAAAAAGAGCAGAAGGAAAAATCCCTATCTTCACCAGAAAAATATGGACGTGTAACCAGAAAATTTTGAGAAATTTCTGTAACAGTCCACACAACTAATTGAAAAAACTAGCAAGCCAGCCTGCATGGCAACCAAGGAAATGGGATAGCCAGCAGAACTCCCAGTGTTCACACACTCAGAATGGCAGTGATGGAATGGAGGGAAGCTGAAGGTAAGGGGAAAAGAAAAACAAAACCTCAGTGATGAGAGTGCCACTGATTCCCAGATAAGCTGGCAAAGGCTCTCAGAGCTGCTCCAGCCCAAAGGGTGGGCAGCACAGCGTGCCTTAAGAGGGAAGCTTTGCCAATTAGGGAAGAGAGAATGTGTCCCAGTTCAGGCCAGGTGTGTCACAATAAAGGGCGTTTGAGGAGAGTGCTGAAGTTTCTAAAGGAAGTCACCAAAGGCATCTTCCCTCCTTCTCCTACGCAAGTCTCCAAGCACTAGACACTAATTAGATGCTGGAACGATCACAGGGCCATCTGCAGGGTATTTTAAGACACATTCTTCCACATTTTAACATCTCTGAAATCAATGGCATCTTACGATTGCTGGCAGCCAGATGGCAGCCCAGACTTAGCAGCATGGAAACCATCCTTTCTAGAAGATCAAGAAGATGCCCATATCAATGCATCTTGGGTTAGATGAAATATACTATTCATCTATGGGTGATTTCTGGAAGTTCACTAGTGCCAATAGTCTATAACAGTTAGTCACAGGCTCACTCCTCCAATTAAGGCAGAGGTGTGCTGCAGCAAATATCTCATGTTTCAGATAAGACCATAATGTATCTTCGTGGAAGAAAAAGCAGGCGACTATCTACAATGGAAAAAAAATGTAAAGCAACACAAAAAATTTAAGAGTAGTGCGGTCTTGGTTTCTGATCCACAACACTGGACGCCAGACAGTAACGAGCACCATCTATAGCGGTGCTGCTCTGGGTGGCAGCGGTCCACAAGTTGCTTTATGCTGGCGGGTGATGAAAAGAAATGGAGAGAAAGTATTTAGAAACTTTTCTAGCACTTTGACATTGCCGTGCCATCCAAGCATATGATCAGTCATTTATTTTTACTGCAGTTTACCAAAGTGTCAGTCCATGACAGATTGGAAAACTTGAAAAGAACTGATCCTTTGCCACAGACCAATCTGGCAAATATTGATCTATAGAGTTCATCCAGAGGGCTGGATGATCTAAAATTTATATAAACCACAAATATGATCACTATTCCGTTGTTAACAAAATAGTAGACTACATGTCTGGAGAAACCCACCCTGTAGAGAATATCAAGATGGCCGGGGGGGGGGGGGAGTTTATATTTAATTGGTTGAAACAGTGATATATCCACATGGTTCAAATCACTAAAAATATTAAGACATTCATATAAAGTCTCCCTGTCATCTCTAACCCCCATCAGTCTTGTTCCCGTCACTACCACCCCCCTCCCAGCATTATTAGTTTCTTACTTATCTTTTCAGAGATTTTTCAAAAATGCATACTAAGCCAAAACATACACACATGAAATTCTTATATAATATTTATAATTTTCTCTGCTCTTTCTTAAAACAAGCACCCTAAAAGCATGTTTTAGGGACTTCCCAGGTGGCGCTGGTGGTAAAGAAGCCCCCTGCCAATGCAGGAGATGTAAGAGATGCCAGTTAGATCCTTGGGTCAGGAAGATCCCCTGGAGGAGGGCATGGCAACCCACTCCAGTATTCTTGCCTGGAAAACCCCATGTCTACATATGGTCCATAGCGTCGCAAAGAGTCAGGCACGACTGAAGCAACTTAGCATGACTTAGCACACATGCAAAAGCATGTTTTTAGATATGTGACTAAACTGTTACAATAAAAAGGAAAATCTCCCAGCTCAGAAATGAAGAGAAACCTCTGAGTAAATGAGTGCTGGATACAATACTTACACTGGGACCATCTGCTGGTCTCTAGTGACCAAGAGTTGATGACAAGCCTGAGACAGGAATGACTGAAAATCTGTTCTGAGAATCTTGCAGAAATACGGAATCTTTGAAAGGCAAAGTAGAAAATTCCTGGCCCACAGAGGAAAGATGGGGATGCTGCCTAAACTGGATCCAGTCCAAAATAAAATGGAATAAAAGCAAAAAGTCTTCCTGGAAAACACCTGACTATGTGGGTTTTTGGACCCAGAACCCAGAACACAAACTGCAGGTGTTGCTTGAACAAAACCCAAGAGACGGAATGAGAGACCATCATATGTGACCATGAATACATGAAAAGAACCACATAACATCTAGAAATGAAAATGGTGGTCACTGACATAAAAAACTCCATAGATAGGCCATGGAGAAGTTGCATATACACAGTTCAAAAAACAACTGGAGAACTGGAATCAGATTTGAAGAAATTATCCAGATTACCGCACAGAGAGAATAAGAGGCCAAGAAACTGAAATCATGAAAGGGTTTGAGACATGGATGATAAGAGTAAGAAGTCTAAAATCCCAGTAGTTGCTATCTATTAGTTCTACTGTATGATCATTGAAAGTGAAAGTGAAGTCACTCAGTTGTGTCCGACTCTTTGTGACCCCATGGACTGTAGCCTACCATGGGATTTTCTGTCCATGGGATTTTCCAGGCGAGAGTACTGGAGTGGGTTGCCATTTCCTTCTCCAGAGGATCTTCCCAACCCAGGGATTGAACCTCGGTCTCCCGCATTGTAGGCAGACGCTTTACACTCTGAGCCACCAGGGAAGTATGACCATTAAGTGCTATTAAACCAACAAAACATCCATGAAAGGTGATGGCCAATTACAGAGAAACCTAGCCCACTAACACACTGCATCTGGGGAGGCTTCAGATGAAAAACAACAACAATTTAAACTTCTAAACAGTCTAGTTTTGACTCTATTTTTTCCTTTTTCCTCTTTGTCTTCATTAAGACATCTTACTAATGCTACTATATTTACATAATGCTAATATAGATACATACCTCCTATCCTTTCATATCAAGAATGCAGCATTTTACCAAAGATAGACTGACCTGCCAAACCACCATGAAGTTTTCTTTAGGTTTATGGTGAAGTGAATTGCTGATAAGTACCATGACTGAAATTTCTACTCAAGATTATTGTAAGTCCAATTATATTACAGGGCCTTTAAAAAATTCTAATTTGTGCCTCCTCCCAATATCTATGTATGTATCTAGCCCTCTTCCTCCCTTCTCCCCTCCTCACAATTTTCTTTCCACGCCCCTTGCAGTATGCCAGCTAGGATACCAGAATACTACTCCGGAGAGCATTGTTTTGACTCAGGTAATACAACACACATATACAATCACATAGCACTCTGCTGTGTACACAGTGGTACTCTACTAAGCACTCCCTTACTAAATAAATCTCTTTTGACTCCAAATGTGTATCACGCATTATCCTATGCACTGGTGATAAGACGATGAGAAAAGAAGTGTTAGTCGCTGAGTTGTGTCCGACTCTTTGAGACCCCATGGATTGTAGCCCACTAGGCTCCTCTGTCCATGAACTTCTCCAGGCAAGAATACTGGAGTGGGTAGCTATTCCCTTCTCTGGGGGATCTTCCTGACCCAGGGATCAAACCTAGGTATTCTGCATTGCAAACAGATTCTTAACCCTCTGATCCACCAGGGAAGCCCAAGGCACACTCCACACTGTCAAGGAAGTGGGGTTTAATGGGGGCGGTGCCCACATACAGAAGTCTCTTCTACTCACTGAAATGATGCTGATGGGTACCTTGGCCTTGGCCATGGCCGGTGTGTTGGAAGCCAATCTGTGCTTTTCAAATTATGAACAACAGCCCATTTACCTGGAGTCTCAAAAGTGGAATCCCCCAAGGGGGCCAGTTTCATGAGTGGCTTTGACAGAGCCCTGCAAGGTTCCCTGGTTTCAAAGCAGATTTTAAGGATCTCAGGTCAGGGTTTCTGCGTTACCTAGATGGCATGAACGTGAGCTTACAGCTCCCACACCTTGCACAAGATTTCCTGTGGGTGCCTGTTTCCACTCTTAGCCTGACCAGGTGATATACTTCCTTCCAGGATCCTGGGATCCTTTTTCAGTTTCAGCTGCCATCCTGGGAATCCACTTCTACCTTCCCCTCATGCATTTGCCTTGCAACCTTGATGTTTTTGCAGGGGAGTCAGGGAGTACTTTTTTTCGCTACATAACACATAAAGATACATGAAAGTACACAGCTCACTGAATTTTCTCAAAGTGAAACACCCATGGAAACTGTAGCCAGATCAAGAAACAGAGTCTTACCAGAACCCCAGAAGCCTGTGCCTGCGTGTCCTCTTCTACTAACTACCCTCTCCTCAAGGTAACCACTATCCTGACTTCAAGTACCAGAGACTAATTTTGCTGGCTTGAAAATCTATCTAAATGGAGTCCCGCAGGATGCACTCTTCTGCATCTGGCACCTGAAGACACACTACAGTAGGCTGTTAAGTCTCCAGGGTCCAACAAAACAATGATACATAGTGTGTTCTCAAAGTTTTTTAATTTTATTTTTTAATTGAAGTATGGTTGATTTACAATGTTGTACCAATCTCTGCTTTATAGC